AAAAAAAAAGTTCAACATACTGTAAATTAGCTTTGTACTTCTCTTGTGTAAGAACCCTACAGCTCATAGTACGTGTATCAACTTTCTTAAACTTTTTCATACAAGAAGTTTAAAATCTACTTGTATTAATGTACTGCAGCAGTATCATTGTGATTAAATCCATCCAAAGCTGCATTTTGATGCAGTTGCACCTTTTAAAAATCTTTAATGTCATTTCATTCTATAAATGTATTTGTCTAATCAGTCAACAGGTCCCTTAAATTAGAATGACTTCTATCAGATACTGGTGTTGGTTTTGTGTAAAGAAAGTGAAGGTAAATGACAGTTCTTGAAGATCTTTCTTTTTTTGTTCTTCAATTAAACAACAGAAAGTGAGAAGAGTTATGAGTCAAGTTTTAGACAATGTTTGAAGTACCTTGCAAAACTAGGAATAATCCCTGTGGTTATCTGGGAAGGATATATCTTTACCTCAGAGGAGCTGCCTGGCTTATCCTTTAGGGTGCAAGGGTTTCTCTTTTATCTTTTTTAAACCATCCAGCTATTAAGTAGTTGTGAGGAACAAAACTGTGTTCTTTGGGAAAGTAGATGGCGTTAATTTGCTTCCCCAGACAACCAGTTATGTTTCTAGAGGACTGCAAAACACAGGAAACTGTATACAAAGTTGCTTAAATATACTTATAAAATGCTTTAAAAACCAATTAGAAAACACATTTTTTCCTACAGAAAAAGTGGAAAATAAGCTGAAATATGAAGGAAAAAATTTACCACTTTTTTTCCCTCTCATTTTAGGGGACAGTCAATGGTGTGCTGCTAGTGACGCCAAATAATATAATGTTTGATCCTCATAAAATGGATCCTCTGGTCCAAGAGAACGGCTGTGAAGAGTATGGCATCATGTGTCCAATGGAAGAAGTGATGTCAGCTGCTCTGTATAAGGAAATTGTGGACAGCAAAATTAAGGATTCGTTAAGCATGTAAGATAGAATAGTGTTAATAAAGCTTTGAGTAATTATGAACTGTAGCCATATTACTGACCATACAAAATTAGCAAAACCAATTTTTTTCTCCTGTTTTTCTTTTTTAAGAACATCAAAGATTGGCTTGAAAGATCCTTGAGAAAGCTTGCTTTACCTTAAGTTCTCACATACTACATATACTATCAAATAAATCCTCTTGTGTATATATATATATACATGGATTCTAATTTTCTCCAATAGTCTCTTCTAAAAATCAGTGTATAGCAAGAGGTACCACACAACTTCCTATGCCCCTTTCCTCACTACGATAACAGTAACAGATACGGTTTTGATTCTTTGGTAATTTAAAAACTGACTTACAGATAGAAAAGTCCAATTTAAACCGCTTTAGGTACACATTTTTATTTGCCATTTTCCACTTGCTTCTCAGACTAGCTTCACGTACCCTCTTGTTGATCTGATAAATGATTGTAGGACTAATTTTCTGAGGTCTGTGTATATTTTTATGGCTTTAGGCCTAATTTGGTTAGGGGAGGAACTGCATTTTTGCCTTTGGGTGTAGCCTTTTAGAGGTGAACAGAGTGAATTCGGATCACTGAGCTTTAATCACGGGCGTTTAGCGTGGTAAGCATTTATTTTAAACCTGACTTTAAATGGCATTATGAAGAATCTGTTCCATTCTCTGTTGCCTAATTTTTATACTGCCCTCAGAAATAGGATGAATTCTAACACTTAAGTCAAAAAGGATTTAAAAAAAAAAAACAATTATGCCACCTTTACCTCTCACAGCCCATGAAGCATAGCATTTGCAGAATACTTTGACCATCTAACTGCAGGGAAGTGGACTCCTTTAATCGAGACAGAGTTGTCTGTATGTATGAGAGTAAAGCTGCTTGCCTGATGTGTAACTCTAAAAATAAAAATAAATAAATAAACCACCGACCAAACAAAAACACCCCACCCTTTTAAGTAATTGTATGAAGATACTCAGTATCGCTGAAAAAATGGCCTTTTACAGTTCTTACAGATAGTATGCTAAGCACATCTTTCTTGATAAATATCTGGAGACCCAGAAGAAATAACTTACCTCATAACATCTTTAAGTTCCATTTCAGCACAGACCTGGTAGTAAACCGGTGTCTTGTTGTGGTCTTGTTTGCTGCCTGAAGTCATACGTTTCTTGAAAGACCAACTAATTTATGTATTACTATAGCAGTACTTTTGGGGCTTTTGATGTAGGAAGGTGATGCCTTCAGCATGATTGCTTTCTATAAGTGTATTTTCCTGATCAAGCTTTAGAAAGTTGCTTGTAGTTCCTACTTCAATGGATGTGTAGTGCAGACAGCGAGTTTATGAAAATGAGATGATGCTTTTTAATCTACCTATTTGAATCATAATAATGCAGTGGCAAAACAAGTCTCTCTTCCTAGCATGTTTGCTTTCTTAATGACGTAGTGTTGATGTACAAATACACTTTCCATGCTCTGTTGATTTTTGTGCCCATTGCACATGCATTTTCTGTTTTGTTTATAATATAAATGCATACAGAATGAAAACATGTCTAACAGTAAAAGGTCACGCTGGACATAAAGGTCTCTGAATGCACAATAAACTTGAAAAACCAATCAGAATACTGAAAATCAGTTTCCTTTTATATCAATAACCTAATTACAAAACTGATGGATTCTTTGGTTCTTAAAACTGGAATTTTATGTTATATGGTTTCTGTATATAAACTATAATCTTTGCTGAAACTGTGAAAAAATATATCTGAGCACATCTTCTACAGATTCATGAACTTTAGGTTGTGCTTGTTAGGAAATGGCCCAGTCTAATGGTTGATAAAACCTAAATTCTAATCCACATGCTTTGTAAGCAAAATTACTACATCAGCACAAGCTTAATATCAGTTTCATGTTAACACTTGAAGAGGATGCATATGCTTTGCAAATGTCCTGAATTCTAGAGATGACTCATCAATGTGACCTAACTGAATAAAAGGTTTTGTACAAATGTGGAGTGGATTTATCCATCTTCAGGATCAGAGATTAAGGTATGAGCTACTTAAAAGCATTTGATACTAGGTAATGGAAGACATAATGTGCTTGTGGTAGCAAGGGAGTTGTCTTGGAGAACTCTAGTCAAAAAGTATGTTTAAACATGAGAAGCCTCTTATGAAGGTTGTGTACTGCTCAGGTGTTTAGGTTTTTCTTTGACAACATTGCAAAAGCTTGAGTCCTGTAGATATAGTTGAACGTGTTCACAGTCCCCTTGTAGGCCTCTTCTAAAACTCATAGAATTTGACTAGTTTATTTTGAAAGGCAGGCTTGAATAAGATTGTTTCCTTAGGAGAAAGTAAGTTCCAATTTTATCCTTGCTTGCTTTCTTGTACTGTTTATCAACATTTGAGGTCTGCTTTTTAAATGGCCCAGTTGTACCAAGTTCGGGATTTATTTTGCTGAACAGTGGTATCCTCAAAGTTGGGTGCCCGACTGGTGAGGACACTAACCACTGGTGTTTAGGTGTTTCTCGTGGGCAGAACGGTAAGATCTACCTTGATGGTTCCTATTGCTGAGGTAGTTACAGTTAGACCAGGTGACTTCTGCCATCTACTTCTTACCACTGAGCCAGGTGCCAACTTTGTAAGAGTGGGACATCACTGTGCAGTTGTACTGGCCTCTTTGGTAGACAAAGCTGAAAGGATTGTGGAGGATTTCTACCTTTTAGAGATTACGGTTCTGTGTAGCTTTTTTAGTTTTCCCCTTGTTTCTTTTATTTTTACATTGTAAGAAACTTGAGTCTTGTTGGTTTCATAAGGGAGAGCTTTTCCTTGCAAAAGTAATAGGATTTTCCAACTTCACATCTGTGTCATCCTGGCAAAAGGTCTGCGCCATAAGCTTACCGTTACAAGAACATATTTTATGGTGGTTTCATATTACAGATGCTTTGCATTAATTTTGTTTGTTTGGGTTGTTTCTGTAAGAGCACCTTTAATTTTAAACAGAACTTAATAAAGAGAAGAGCTTGACAGAAAAGGCACCTGATATAATAATACTCTTATTTGCTCAACAGAGATGTAGAACAGCTATCTGTAAGGGATCTTTGCCATTCCAAGAAGGCTGCAAAGAGCAATACAGATGAAATGGATTCCCGGATTCGGGATACAGGCAATGACAGTGCTAGTACTGCCCCAAGGAGCACGGAGGAGTCTCTTTCAGAAGATGTCTTCACAGAATCAGAACTCTCTCCAATACGTGAAGAACTTGTTTCCTCAGATGAGCTTCGACAAGACAAGTCATCTGGAGCATCATCAGAATCTGTCCAAACAATAAACCAGACTAGTGCCGAATGTTTAACAATCACTTCAGACGCAAATGAAGCTTCCAGTGACTTAAAACCCAGTGCCGAAAGGGTTGTAAATGTTAAACGGTTTGGTACCCACAGCTTAGGTTCGGAAAGTTCTGAAATGTCTGTAAAGGGGGGACAAGAATCTGGTGAAAATATTGCAGATGTCCTCCAGCAGTCTTTGCAAGGATCACATGGTAGTGAAAAGGATGACAAAGAGGCAGAAGTGGGCAAAGATCAAGGCTCCTCACTAGGAAAAGAACCAGAAGGAGAGAGTAAGATGGGAGAGGAATGTCCACGTTGTGAAGATACCACAGACTCGCAAAAGAAAGAGACAGCTAGCAAAGGAAAAGTAGTGAGGGAACAAACTCAAGACTCTGAGGCAGAAGTGGAAGAACTCCGCAAACTCTGGAAGACCCACACTATGCAACAAACCAAACAGCAAAGAGAGAACATGCAGCAGGATTCACAGAAAGAAATCAGTCAGAAAACTGTGACTGCAGGAGATGGGCAACTAGAAGGTGAGTCAGTATTTATGGGTACAGTGTTAGCCTTCAGATTTAGTGTGTGTCTCCCTCCAGCTCATCAGTTTTTGTTGCTTTTCATTCTGCAGAACGTATTTTTCCATATATTGCTTATACTTCTCATTGCTTTGAAGATATACCTTATATATATATCAGTGGGGAAAATATTGCTCTGGAAGCTGAAAACTGTTGTTACTGTCATTTTTCCTCATTAAAATTATAATTAAATTAAAATAATGTGTCTTTGTAGGGGAGATTTAAATCAGCCTGTAAAACTAGATTCATGATGCAGTGGTCAACTGTAGAAATCAAAATTAACAATGTTCCTTAGCCATCAGCTAGCTAGCTGTCACATAAATTTTGATGCCGTTGTCCATGTGTATGAATGAATTTCAGGGAATGAATTTCATGTTGTTTATAGCACATCTACCTTGTAGTTATGGTTTATGGTGGGAGTAACACTGGAGTCTCAACACTGATACTGCCAAAACTTTGTTTCACTTGCACCTTGTCATGCTTTAATTTTGACTAGAACAGGATTGAGCATACAAAAAGCATTTCACAGGATAAATAAGGGCTAGATGGCAAGAAACTAATGCTGTGAACATGGAGAACAACTGGGCTTATTTCCCTGAGTTCCTTTACTCCTCTGCAAAGATCAGGCCCTAGGACTACGAGTTAGAAGTTATCTTCGAAGTCTGTTGAAGTTACTTTATTCATATTAAATGTTGTTTCTTTTTCAAGTAACTTAAAGATGTTTCTGTATGTATTAGATTTGGCATTTTTAAAAATTCATAAGCCACTTTCTGATGCATTACCATCTTGCTAATGGAGGTAAATTAGTTGTGGAGTATTTTGGGGGCTAGAGAGAAAACATACCTATAATGCCTGTCACAAACCAGTCGATTGTACGTGATTGCATTTGAAGGTCATATTTAAATTACTACAATTTCCACTTATTTACTGAATAGAGAGGTGTATTGTTTGGTTGAGAGAAATTAATCTTACACTTCAGAATCCTATGATAGCTTTGGGGTGGGGTTTTCTTCTGTCCTTTTGTTATGGAAGTAATTGGATTTTTAAATCTGAAGCAGAAATTTGGCTTTTATGCCTTTTAATATTTTCTGAGATCTGGCAAAAATGTCAGCTAGCAGTAGTTGCTGGTTTTGACTCAAATGCAAGTACAATTGTTTTTTGTCACAATTGCTGCTTTTCTTTCTATTGGTAACTATGAGTAGTCTGGAATAGCTAAAAATGTCTCCTTGGATTTTTTTTTTAATTTTATTACATAGAACACTCTTACATTCTCTTCTATTTTTACGGACACTTATATTAGCAAATGTACTGAAAGAAAAGCTCGTTATAATTTCTCCAAAGTTTCAGCTATAATGGTCTGTAGTTTTGTGTGGTTATAAACAAACTGAAATCTTACTAAAGGTAACGTCTTTTTTTTCTGCTTAGTTACCTGAATATTGGCCAAAACAAAGGAAAAAAAAAAAAAGACATGACGCACAATAGCCATTACTAAAACCTTTGTTTTGCTGAAGATTTCTGTCTCGGATATGCAAAAATGCATTGAGAGCACACCAAAAAAAAAAAAAGGCAAAAAAAACCAACAAAAAAACCAACAAACAACCACCATGTTAAATAATCCTTTTGAGTTTGGGGGTCAGGACTAAATTGTTTTCATTCTCCCTGCTAGCTGTAACTAAATCTCACTCGTTTTTCTTTTCAAGGTATGGTACAAGTCCTACTTCTCTGAGCTCTTATGTCAGAGAAGTTCTAAACTCCTTCATCTGAAGGACCAAAATATCAGATAATTTAAAGAACAGTTCTCTAACACTGCCACAAGGTTCATGCGCCAGTCTTATGAAGCAGTTTTTTGGTTTATTTTGGTTTTTTGGGGGTTTTTTATCTGACAATTTCCCTTTTGAGCTTATGGGTTAAGAATCATGCATATTAAGACTATGTTACTGTACTGTACACTGGAGGTATAATTCTAAAATACTGTAACTGAAAATGGAGATGCACATTTAAATATTTACACAAAAAAAAAATCTTTGGGGAACAGTGCTATTCTAAACTTCATGGTGAAAATCTGATTAAGAAACCATACATGAGAGATGCTTATAGATCAAGGAGGTGATGTTTTCTGTGCCTGGTGTATCTATGGTCTGTATAGACACTGAAAGAGAAAAGATAAATGTCCTAGAAAACTGGAACATATCTTTATGTGTATGTAACACCAGAGGTAGGCTAAATCTTTTGTTGTCATAGCTGATTGTAAGAACTCTTAAATTTCCTTCCTTGCTTTAAAAAGTCTTCTGTGGCCGAAACTCATGTTCTAAGATATGGGCAATTAATCTAACAAAGAAACAGTTTTCAGTAGGCTTATTCTTTTACCTTGTGCTGACCTGACAATCTAGACCTTGAGAGTAATCACGTCATTCAGTTAGTTCAGTGAAGTGTGCTACTGGAGGGAAAAATCCCTGACTGCAATATACAGTATACTGAATCCTGAAGTGGTGTTCATACTTTTGAAGTGTTTTATACAGCTAACAATTCATTTCCATCCTCTATTAGTAGTGCTGGAACTTTTCTTTTTTTAAACTAACTAATAAACAGCTCTGACCTTATGTGAATCACCCCTAAGTACTTACCTAACACTGTATCTTCTGCATGTTTATGGACCAGTGGGAGGGGTGTCTGATTTAGTGTTGAGGGACATGCACTGAAAATACCTTCTGAAATACTTTCAAGGATGGATGAAAGACTGTAATAATAAAATCTGAGGTTGGAAGCAGAAATGAATGTTAGAATTATTCAAATGTGTTGTACTCTGAAGTTCATTCTGCTGAAGCAATTTATGTAACAAAAAAAGAAGGGTAATTATTACTACCCATGTTATCTCATCTCCTATTACTTGCTTTTATATATGTCCTTTATACATGTATTGACCAATAAAAAATTGGCTGATTTTAAGGTTCTCTGTACATTGTGGATAGCTTGCTTTTTCTGTACTAACAGGTTCTTCTCTTACGAAAGAAAAAAGAAGACATCGATCTCACAAGTTTCTGCGTCTCAGGGTTGGAAAACCCATGAGAAAAACATTTGTTTCGCAAGCAAGCGCATCAATGCAGCAGTATGCACAAAGGGATAAAAAACATGAGTACTGGTTTGCTGTTCCACAAGAAAGGTAAGAAGGAGGTAGACTGTGGAGAAAAATAAATCAACACTTTTCAGTAGGTCTTTGAGCACTTTTTCTGGCTTAACACGTGTGGATACCCCAGCTTTATGGGTTTACTGGAGTTTCTTGCAGGTTCAGCCTATAGTTTCTTATGGTATTATTTAGGCTTGTGTTTGTAGGAAGTAAATAATGAAAGAAATATTCAAGTAAGCGGTGGCTGGTGAAAGAAGTGAGTTCTGCAATAAACTTCTTTATTGCCTTTTATCTGTGCTTTCTGTTATTTGGAAACTTTCTGAAAGCTCTCTCTACTTCTTAGAGCTCTGAGTTCAGAAGAGCTATCTGGGGTTCTCTTGCCTTGTCTTCATATATGGAACATAAAACTTTTCCAGGAAGCAACTTAAACACTACTTCTGGAAAAATACCTAAATGTGTCACAGTAATTCAAGGATGTGAGATGTCTGTTCACTCACTGGTAAAGTCTTCAATTCTTAAATGATCTTTACTGCTAGGAAACTGTGACTTAGTTTCAAATTGCATGTGATTTTGGGGGTGTTGGAGATGATTATATCCTTGTCAGGAGAAGGGCGGGAGGGAAGAAAGAAGCAACAACAAAAAAGCTATCATCTATCACCTTGTATAAATACCTACATACAATGATCAAGTCACTTTTCCATCTTTTCTTTTGAGCTGAATGGCATAGAATGTCCAGTTGGGGCACTGCAGTTGAGGACAGATATGGATCAATTGGAGAGAGTCCAGAGGAATGCAGCAAGACTAATTAATGCCTAGAAAGTGTAACATATAAAGAAAATTAGAAGTAAGTGGGGTTCTTTAATCTAAAGAAGAAAAGGTTCATTACAAACATAAAATCATTTCATACTTACAAGTTGGCTGCAACAAACCAGGCAGTAGTCTCTTTGGTTGGGGTGTTTTGTGTGTGTGTGTGTGTCCACTGTGAATGGAGATGTGTAGCGGACTGAAATTCCATCAAAATTTTTGAATTTCCCAACAGGGAGGATTGAGTTTGTGCTAGCACATCACTAACCTGCTTTTAAACATCACCCACCTAAATGGTGGAGGTTTGTCTGAAGAAATTGCATAATGTCTGTCACAGTGTCCTGGTATAGCTAATCCTGTCTGGGCCAGGTGACTTCTCATGGCTACAGTCAGCTCAAATTTTCTTGTTTGATTCATATCATATTTAGCTTGAAAACAGAGAAGTGTTTCACGCATGGCGGTGATGTCAGGTCAGATGATTAAAATGGTTACTGTCTCTTTGGTTCGTTATCAAGTGCAGCAGAGCAAGCACTTGTCTTCATAAAGCAGAATTTATCACCTGTTTCGGAAGCAATAGTTCACAGTCTGTATCTGATCTCCTTGGAAGTTACTCCACCTATTTTCTTTCAATTTCTCTCTTTAACTGCATGAGGAATTAGTAATCTGTTCTTTATCCATCCAATGTATGTCCTATGTTTCTGTACACAAAAAGGCTCGTGCTAATAGTGGGGGTGTTTTTTTCCTTAATTCAGTATTAACCTTGCTGAGTGCTACTCTGCAGAGGTCAAAATATTTACTGTCAACCCTGATGTCTTTGTCACCTAGAGGTAAGAAAGAGAGAAAGTAGGTTATCTGGCAAACCTACATTATTGCAGTGTTCTTAATCTCAAATGAGCCCATCTGGAAAGGCATGTCTGAGAGTTCCTTAAACATCAAGGTTTGTTTACTTTTTTTTTAGTGCTATAATTATGTACAATTTCAAGTTCTTCAAAAGCTAAAAGCAGGATATCTCTTTTTAATTTTCTTACTTTAAGACTTGATAAAATTGATGGCTCGTTCATGAGAGATCTACAGTTTCTTGTACTAACTTGGTCATAGAATTTTCTAGCCTTATGCATCTGAAATGTTTTATTCTCTTTTACTGTCAGAGAAAGATTTGTCTTTTTCCTCCTTTCATCAGTGTTATCCAGTAACCTTAATTTTAACAAGGGTGACTGAATAACTGACTCTGCTCAAAGACTATTATTACATACCTGTGTGCTGCATCCTTTTAGGCGTATGAAGGTTACAGTTGCAGTTCTGAGAGACTTTGCTCTGTATCCCTTACTGTTCTTCCAGTATTGAGTTTTGCAGGGATTTAGTGAGGAAGGGGGGAAAAAATATTCAAATCTTCTTCTTCATGCTAATCTCGTGCTAATCCAGTCTGCAGATTCACAGTAGCAAGTATCTCTGAAGGACGTAAGGAGTATTCAAACTCTTGGTAACCAGAGCCACAAAACTCTATCTCTGAAGCAGTCTTTTTCCATGATAGAGGTGCTAGTGGATTCATTGCATGTCCTCTTTCCAAATGCTCCATCTATCTGTGCACCTATGGGAAATGCTTAAAGAGTGTAGGCTGATGTCTGTTAGGGTAGTAAATAACTCTCTTCTGGGAATTTGGGCATTTTGTCCTTCCTAACTGGGGAACCATGCCATTTGTGGCAGATAACTTAAAAGGAGGTAACTTTGAATCTTGGTACTTACTGCAGTACTATGGTTGAAATAGTCTGTGCTTTATGATCTAGCTATATATCTGCACACTTTCATCCTTATTTCCTCATATCTGTAGTAATTCTCACCATCTGCATAATTTTGTTTACATGTCTTGCGAGTGTTCAGCGCTCTAGTGGCGGGGAAAACAGACATGCAGATACTTTAAAATTCCACTTTTGTTTATGGTTTTATGTAACTCTTAAAAAATAAAAAAATCTTAGTGTTTTATTTTGGAAGCTATTTCAGCTGTAAACAGAGGTTTCCAACGGGACAGAGGTGGTTGAAGGACCATACTTACATATGAGAACACAGCTAGTCAAGTTCCAACTTGTTTCCTGTTTTTCCTCCAGTGTCAGCTTCATATAATTAAAAAGAAAAAAGCTAACTAGCTCTTTTCAAATGTGTCTCTAATATATAGTAAACCATGAAATAGTAAGTATTTTCATTTTAACCTTAAATACTTCATACTTATTACACATGTCCCAAAAGATCACAACCTTACCTTATTTTTCTTTTCTTTATCGTTACTTGACTTCTCTAGGACAGATCACTTGTATGTCTTCTTTATCCAGTGGAGCCCAGAGATATATGCAGAAGATACTGGGGAATCTCTTCGGGAACCTGGTTTTATAGTGGTAAAAAAGAAGGAAGAGCCTGAAACTAGTGAAGAATCTACTACTGAAGATGCTGCAAAGGAGTGGGAGGTAAGGAAGAAGTGTCAGACTTTATGTTAACCATATTACTATGAAAGTATTAAATAGTGTTAAATACTTTCCAATAAGAGAAATCAAGTAATGTGCTTTAGTCTGCTTACTACGATCATGACTGTTTAATTTATGTCATCCTAATGCTTTGCTCTAACATCAGTTCAGGGCAACATTTCACAATTACAAGTCATTTTTGTATGGAGCAAATTGAAACTTAAAACTCAGAGTTGAAAGGAATGTGAGTACAGCAAAGTACTTGCAACCTTGATGAAGTAGACTTAGTTTTCAGTCAAGGAAGCTGACAGTTTTCTGACACTTATTATTCATGTACATTTCTGACATGTATTATTCCCTAGAATATTGAACACTTATTGGTAAGTCTCAAAACAGTGATGAACAACAAAAAAGGAAAATTAATATATTAATGATGTGTTCTTCCAGTAAACCAGTAATTCTCAGTTAAATTCTTCATACATTAAAATGATGTTGCATGGTATTTTAGTAATATGCTGTAACTGGAACTATCTCATTAATTTTTTAACAAATACATTTCTCCTATGTGAATCTGTGTCCACTGTGTTTCTATGGACACATCTTTACCTGTCTACATGGTTTTGTTTTGTAGTGTACACACAGTTGAAGCCCTTGTAGTCTTGTGCATTCAAGTGTCAGTCAAAAGTTTGATGATTCTTGTCACATATATTGTAGAAGTATCCCATCAGCACTGTTTAACTGGAGTCTCAGGACAGCAATTGCGGCCTCTGAATGTGACTGACTTTTTTTTTTTTTATTTTATTCCTACCCTGCCTCACAGTGGAACATGTTGAAATTTAAGGCCGTCTGTACTCGTTATGTAGAGTGTAAAAGAAAATTTTTGAAATTGTAATAGTCTTAACTACGGGTAATGGTTTTCTTTTTTGCTCCAAAACCTAGAATCATGGTAGAAATCTGACTTCCACTAGCTGAAGCGTTAGGCTGTGGTTGCAAAAGACTACCTCTGCAGCTTAGTGATTTTGCATTTTTGCTTTGATGCATTGAAATTAGTGTCATAAAAGCATGTCTCTTACATCTTCATATTTTCAGCATATATATTGCTTGAGTATTTTTACCAGCAGTGTATTTTGGTGTTGATTCTTCCTCAAAACCTTTAAGTATTTGTTATTTTAAAACTTGGCCTTTTGGAATGTGGGGATTAGTGGCAAATATTGAATATTATGGTTTAAGGCACAGTATGTCTCTTTTAATGAGCTCTTCGGTAACTTTGCACCTTGATATAATTACAGAATAATTTCCACAGAAAATGGAAAAATTGTTGAACAAAGCAAATTGTTCTTCAGGATTAAATGTTACAACTTCTAAAAAGTTATTTGTGAACATAATAGAGGCAGTTCTTTTCCTAAGTGTATTAAAATCTGTAAATTATTTACTACAGAATGAAGTCATACCTTAAGGTAATGTTACAACTTCTAAAAAGTTATTTGTGAACATAATAGAGGCAGTTCTTTTCCTAAGTGTATTAAAATCTCTATTTACTACAGAATGAGGTCATGCCTTAAGGTTTCATTTAGATCTTCTCTGGAAACAATTGCAGAAGACCTATTTCAAAAATACTGTTATTTCTGTATTTGTTATGTAAAAATTATGTCAAGTTTACACCTCTTATGCTTATCAAATAATAATTTTCTGAATTTTGAGTTAGTGTGATTAGTGAGATGGATATCTCTTTAAAAAAATTTGTTATGCAAGTACAAGAAATATGCTAATGTGGTCTTCTGTGCATTTTAATTGAGTAATGTGACTTCTTATGACTGACTTCTAGCACAAATCTGAAAGCTGCTAAAAACTAGCTTTTTAATCAGAAACATTTGACAGTACCAGATGGTTCAACCTGTCGTTACATACAAGTGTTTCAGTAGCTTTCAGCATATGTGCTAGAAGGTATGAGTGCACACAGGGAATGGTAGCTGTTGTCATACCCATTATTCCCTTTGAATTTCAGTCATTATTTCCAATCAATATACTTCCTTCCCTTTAACCCAACAAGCTTTTTCTCTGTTGGCTCTTGATCCGGATGTAATCTAAGGTAGCAGGTGAACAGTATTACTGAAACCTTTGTGGGCATTGGGATGAAAAATAGCCTGCTGCCTTCAGAACACAGCGATGGGAAAACAGAGGGTGGAAAGGAAATGGAAAGCAAAATCTTGATGCACAAATGCATCTTGAAGTACTGTTGATCCACAGAAAGAGGAAGCTAGTGGGATAGCTTTCTTGACCAGAAAGTGTTCTCTCTGGTATTGTTGTACAGTGTCCTAGGACTGGAGAAACAGGAAAGAGGATTAATGGGTAACACAGGTGTGCTGAGACAACTTTTGCTTCTTTGATTGTCCTCTGTTAACACATTCAGCTGCAGCTTTTTCATAGAGACTGTAAGGAAGTACTGCAGGGTTTTTATTTTAGTGGAGAAGGAATCATGGTAAGAAGGAACAAGTAAAAGCCAAGATCAGTAACATAGAAGTAGTAGTAGGGATTGGTTTATAAATTTATTAAATGGATCAATAAATAGGACTGAACTCTTACTCTGAACTTAATTTTTTCCATCTGCTTATGCTTTCTTCTGCCTGTCTACAGAACAGTCTATTTCCTATCAGTCTTTTCCCTGAAGGAATCCAGTAGATGTAACCTCAGCTGATACAGTGGCAAAGAGATCGACTCCTGCTATCATATTAAACACTAGTTTGATCAAATACTGCATTGTATGGTGTGTCCAAAACCAATAAAATCCAAGGAATCCTTTAGCTGACTGTATTCTATGCTAAACACTTAGTAGATAATTGACTTGTTAAAAATAACTGCAAACCTACTACTGGCTGACATTACCATCAGTAAAGGGGACTAATTCATAGTCATCAGTTACAAATGCTGTGTGGGTGTGCTGGGTTCAGCC